TCCAAAAATGTGATCCTCCATCTCAACTAGTGCTTTTGTCTACCTTTTGAAATACTCAGAATCCAACCCCTCAACTGACGGCCATAGGTGGTATAACTTCGAAGAAAAGAACGGACTTTACAGGTCGGGAGGTCAGAAAACACGCTGAGGTGAACCGCGAAATGTCATAAGGACGAAAACGGACGGGTAGTGGTGGTGATGAGGAAGAAGAGGGGGGTTTTTTCCCTTCTTTCCTTTTCAGCTAAATCAAACAATGTGAGGCCAAGGCGGAGAGAGTTGAAGGAAATAGAGAACGAAATTAAAGGGAGCGAAAAGAAAAAAAGAAAAGAAAAGAAAAAGCAAAAAAGAAGCAATTCGCCTCGTTCACAGTTCACAGCATCAAAATCAAGAGATCCAGCGAAGAGAAGAGTGAGGGACAACGGTCGGAGTTATCCTCGTGCCAACAGAGGCCGCTTTTGGTGCCTGAGGCGGAATGTAGTGGCTGAGTCAGCTGATGTCACGAGACTTGCCCTATACAGTAGCCATTCACCAAGTACCACCAGCTCTGGCAATTCATCAGACATTAATACAGAGTATACAAGCACTGCTCGGTACCACAGTAAATTACTCTACTTTGCGCACGGTATCTCTTAGCGAGTTTAGGGAGCCACGTCGTTCCCGCACTCCAATCCAAAGGAAACACTCCGGGATGATCACCATAACTTTCATGAGGACAGTGCGCAGTACCCATGCTCTATCGAGTGATATTCGCAACCGTTGCGGAAGAATCGAGAAACCGCCCGTTGATAGCGCATTGTCTCTAAACTATGCTGTACATCGTCCGGTAGCTTGTCAAGTGGGTATGCAAATGCAATAGTGCGATGGCAGGTCTACATACTTTTGCTACTTTGCGCATTGTCCCCTGAAATTCTTCTTTATTTGTACAATACTAAATAGATCTTGACGCGTCTTTGGGGTAGTATTTGGAGTGTCTCAGTGCAAACATAGTAGGAATGGGCATGATGCATGAGCTCTTATCTTGTTAAGATCATGCCCCTGAATATATATCCATTGAGACCTTTTTTATACATATCTACTATCAATTCTATTTATAATCGGACAAATCAAATAAGCCGTCAAGCAGTTGATTGACGCTACTGGCTTGATATCATAACAATGACTGAATATAACGTCTGACCGTATGCCACCCGGTAAATAGACAAGCATAAGCATACCCGTTCACAACTTATCCTCCGAGGATAGTGTCCCCCAAATAGCTTACGCACAGGCATCCACCAGGCGGAAAGATATCCGATCTGATTGACTCCTGGGAGATCAACAACGACTCATGGTTACTCTGTAACTATCATCGGAGAGTTCCTGATCAGGAAAAGGACGGTGTTGAATCATGAAATGTGTACAACGTCACCTGCCATAACACTATTGCCCCGTAGCATTTGAAGAACGTTATAAAAAGAAATGAAAGGGGCAATCGTAATTATATATATGGAGTTTTTGGACATGGTGCACGAATGGTTATTTATATAGTCTACCAGTATCCTGGGACAGTGTATATTAATAGCCACGAGTAAGATCCAGGGGTAATTAATATAAGCCGTGTGATAATATCATCCTGTCGCCTACAGCTACTGTACTCCGTAGAATGGATGCTGGTATGGAGTAATCAGAAATAACCAGTATCCTAGTGATCGATAGTAGTACCGAGTGAAGATAGCTCTAAAAAACCGTTGGTAGCCCCTATCCGTCAATCCGATGACGACAACAGCGCTCTACCACAAAGTATATTCTTGGTAGTGCCGGGAAAGGAACGGTCCCTGTCGATTATTCGATTATCATCAATAGCTGTCATATCAGTGTACTCCGTGCAGCTAGTCCTTTTCCCTCTTTTCCTCCAGAGTAATTGTACGGGAGTATGCGAAAAGAAGCGTATTGATGGACCCGAGTTTTTGGACCCAACGGCATGACGTCGTTTGCCGACTGCCGATAATACATGTATTTATCAGACTACAGGGAACATGGTTAAATGCGTGTATGCAGAGTAATGTAGTTTTATGCACGGTATATGTTTTCTAGGGGCTATAAATCGGTACAGACGAAGCTCAGAATCCAGGAAGATGATGCCATGGTGTGACAGCCTATGTGACACAGATCCTCAGTCAGCCTTCGCAATTGAGTTTTTCATATGCAGCGGGTTCTGCAGAAGATCCCGTGAAAGGCATGGGATTCCCTGAATATGCCTGTACGTAGTTTGTATTCCGTATCTTCAAATGGGTCAGAAAAGATAGATTGATAGTGGTTCCTGAAGAAGGCAGAGTTCAAATTCCAGAGGTCAATGCCCTTCTACTCCGTATTGCATGCATATTAGACAGTGGCACGGCCTTTCCTCTTGACTCAGGCATTGAGTTGATAGCTCCAGGACCCAGAGTCCTGGATTATCAGTTTATATACCTAAAGCATCTGCCTACAAAACTCTCCACCTCAGCTATGTACTTGTGGGCAGTAAAACTTGCAGAATCTAGGATTGTACTCCGTATTACGACCGCCGATGGCCGAGCGGCCGATACATTACAGTAGTCAGAGAAAAGAAGAATACTGTATTTAGCGACGTACATAAAAAAAAACAATAGCTTATCTCAAATCTATTAATTACCAAGCCCACTGAAAAAAACCCAGAATATTATTATAGAGTATTAGCAACCAATATTCTTCGACAGAACACCCCTCATACTCTACCGAGACAATGCAGCCAATACGGTATGTAACATATATGCACGGCGGTTGGTAAGAAATCCATGGAATGACCCCAGCTCTGACGTCGTCAGCTCCACTCGTCAATTGTCTGATTCTGGAGAATTTCCAGAGATCGATTCAGCCATGTTGGGATACATGCTCTGTACTGTACTTCGCACGCTACTGAAAAGTATTTTTCCATACTCCTGATAAACAAATTAGAAATGGCAATTCATCATCGAAAACTCGGTCTGAAAAAAAAAAAAAAAAAGAAAAGATGGATGGATGCTATGACGAACCCTTGGTACCTAATGATGTATTGTGGTACTTGGCATACCTCATGCTGTACGACCCCTTGTCCTTAGTACGGAGTGCATGGAGGATACAAGAAAGTCAGAATAAGGATTGTACTCACTCTTATTTTTTCTTGTTCTCTTAGCATAATTAATTCTTCCACTTTACTAGACCAGCCGCGCCACACTCCAGTACGGAGTATCTAGAGTACGTCGTACATACTAACACTGTACACGAAGCGCACTCTGGCTTAAGTCATAAGTGATGTATGTCTTCGAGGAACTATTCATGTCGGACAAGTACATTGTATTGCTTTGACTGGTTCTCTATGCTGTTAATAATTTTACTGGCTATGATTATTATTACAGCCTCAAGTCCAATAGCCCACTTTCCCTTTCTTTCTTTCTTTCTTTCTTTTTTTTCTCTCCCTTTCCGGCTCTTTTTCTTCATTCTGGTTTTTATTCATATCCCGTGTGTACTCCGTAATGAGATTCTCGATTATCCCACCCACACCGTAACCAGCCTATGAGAATATACTACTGCTACTATTAAATAGTAGTGCTACTCCATACTCTGGTATGAAAAAAGGAAAAAAAGAAAGAAGACATCACAATACCAACCATACCGACTCGTACATACTCCGTACAGCGTTTCGAACCCCCTCGTAGCGGACAATCCTACTTCCCTTCCGGCGACTCTGTCTCTGACACCTTATTCTGTATCTCTTCTTTTCTTCCCTTCTCTTTTGCTGGTTATTTTCACTTTCCCCTTGTCTATTGAGTATATTCTGTTGAGTGATCACTTTCTTATTCGGGTATCTCTCGGATCAGCCTCTATCGTGGTATCATCGTTGCCCATCATCTCCATCCCGACGCACACACGCACACGCGAACCCACAACTACTTTGTATCGGATACACTACTCTTTCCCCTCTATTACCCTTTTTATCTCATTTCCTCCCCTCCTCTCTTTCCTATATTGCCAGAGAAATCTCCGAACGTTGCCGCGGTACAGGTCAGCCCAGCCCTGAAGGAACAGTGGATGGAGAACCCGTAGTCCTTCGTCGGTTCCCCCCCAGTAAATGCATTTTGGTTCCCCCCAGGGCTCGCCTACGTCATAGGTCGACCCTCATTCTCATCCTACTCACCCATAGGCTTTTTGTCTCTCCTACTCTGTCTTTCTTTTCTCTCCTCCCCGGCTTATCCTTCTGGTCGTCAACCACCGGAAACCGGTCGATCTCACTGGGTCAGAGCAGGTCTCAGTATCCTCCAGAATACTCTTAATCATTTATCTACAGAAGGAAAGAAGAAACAAAAAAAAAAAAAAAAAAAAAAAAAATTTTTTTTTTCAAAAACTTTTTTTTTTTTTTTTTTTTTCCCTTCTCCGATTACTGGTTTATTATGTCGTCTTAACCCTCGTTCTTTTTCTTTTCTAGAAGGATCAGAAAAAGAAGCGAAGGAAAAATTACATACCCTGCCACATTAGGTGAAGACACCTTACACTCCAACACACTTTTACTGTCTTCTCTCCACCACACCCCTTTTTTTTTTCCTGTCTCTTTTCGAACGCCTTTTTTATTTTTATTTCTTTTGTTATCGTGTATATTTTTCCCTTCTATTACTGCTCATTGCTAGCACACTTTACCCTTTTCTTCTCTCTTATTCCCTCTCCGTTTCTTACCGTTTCTGCCTTCCCTCTTTTCCCTCGAATCTGATCCTCGCCTATTCCGGTTTCCCCTCTCCCCTCCCCCTCCACACATATTCTCTCTCTCTCTCTCTCTCTCTCTCTCTCTTCCTCCCACCACATCATCATTGTCACCACCACCGCCACCATTTCTCACTCCCCTGCATTTGACCACGGACCGGTTTGTCCGAGAGATGAGTGTCTCATTTGGCTCCTGTGCTACTGGACTCGCCCAGGAGAACTGATTATTGACCGGCGGTGGAGGAATTGTGATGATGGGGGAAGTTCGCAGCATGAGGACGCCTCCGCTTCCATCGCCGGCCGAGGCTCCCTCGCCTGTCGCCGCGTCCCAGTCCCATCCTCACCCTCATGAACCTCGTGGTCCTTCTGCCTCTGTCTCTACACCCTCTTTTCTCCCAAAAGACAACGATGATGACGGAAGTGTGATGCTGGACGATAGTTTGCGGATAGCTAACACTCATGCTGCATCTTTGCAGCATCAACAGACTCCGGACGTGTCCTGTATATCGTCAAATAATATTCCTTCCGAGTACAAGAGCTCCGACTCGGGAAAAGGGTCTCAAGAAGACCACGGTCGAAGCCTGCAGACCCTGAGAGAGTTACGGAGACAGATGGAAGAATTGCTCGCCTACCAACAGATGCAACAACAATCCCAGGATCAGGACGTCACTGCTGCCGCTGCTGCTCCTCCCAGTCGAGAAGCTTTTGCTTCTCCTGTTCCTCCCCTTAGCCTTCCTTCTGCCCCGCGAGACGATCCGCCGCCTTGTTCCTCATCTCCCCACGAATCTTCCAAGAAACGGCGCATCTCCAATGACGAATCTCCGCAACTCCCTGCTTCCTCGTCCGGTGCCATGCCCTCTGCAGCCGCATACTCCGACTCCACCAGTTCTGCTGGCACCATCCGCCCCCCAGATTCCAGTAATAATCCCATGCTCGCCGGGCAGACCCCGTCCTATCCGTTTCCCAAGATGTACCCCTCGCCATCTCCCGCCGCCGCCAGATCGGCGCAGGAGTCATCACCAATGCTCAACCAGAGTCATTTCAAATTGACACTCCCCGCAGAGAAGTTGAAAATCGGCAAGGGCCCTTCCTCGCAGCCGTCGGATGAGCGGCCGCCCCCGGTGATGAAGACGTCGACACCTCACAGTGTATTCCTGCCGCCACAACATAAACCCGTCATGGAAGATCCGATATACCCCAGTCCAAACCTATACGATATTACTCTTCAACTCAGTGCGGACCCGGGCCTTGATGCTTGGTGGTCCAACGTTGTCAACATCCTACAGACATATTATGGTGCGGAACGGGCTTCTTTGGCGGTCCCCGGGGATGCGACGGATTTGGAGAACGTGCCATGGGGGCAAAAAGCGGTGTTTGACCAAAATCTCAGCGAAGATCCAGATAGCATCCACCAACTCTACGGCGAGACGACTCGGGCGGGGCCCAGCGAAGCGGACTCGCACAACACAGGGACAGTGGCGAACAACAGCATCATCAATGTTAATACCACCAATAACACCACGGATAGCCATTCGCGGTTGGGATCGGTATCTGCCGCCAAACGGCCATCACTTCTGTCGCGGCATTCATTTGCTGGATTCGGGAAGGACCGCAAGCATGCCGCTGATCAGGATCCGTCGCAACTACTACATAAGATAAAAATTGAGAATGCGCAGTCAGCTGCCACCACCAATGCTATGGACGTGGATTCTGAGCTCTCGCAGAGTACTCCGACAGGCAATCGCGACAAGGAGAACGTGATGACACCGCAGACGCATTCACTTGATGACGCCTTGATCACCACAACACAGCACAGCTACCGACAAGCCGTCTTCCCGATACCCCGACCATTGGAGGTTGAGTCGGATCCGCTCATCAAACGAACGGGTGTCGTCAAGCTGTTTGGCCGCACAAAGCCAGTTGTTCTGACCCGGGAATATTCAAAGGGATCGGCGAATGTCTGCTCAGAAAATCACGGTGGAACAATGGCTCGATCTCCCGCGGACGACAAGGTTCAAGTCACACCGACGGCCGAACCAATTCGTCCCGGTGTCCCCCAAACCCCGTCTCGACCTGCCGGCTCGACCCTTCAGGCTCCGGCACTCGTGCCTGGGCTGCCGCCGTCAATGGAGGTTTCGGATGAGTATGAGCAAGTTCCCCCGTCGCCCTGGTCACAATCACCCGCGCCATCGCCGGCTCCGCGGGCGCAGGCTGAGCAGAATCCATTCTTTGTCAGTTATTCGGTCGACGAGTCGGCATTTGCGAAGAATCCCCCTCCACACGACTACTCCAACCTTCAGCCCTTGCAAGCGATCGGGGTCGACCTCGCCAAATCTGTTGTGCACATTCCTCTCCTTCACGCTGGCAGCTCCAAACAACCCTCGTCGTCTACCTTACGGTTCCCTGTTGCTGTGATTTCCATCCTGTCACCTATCATCCCTTACCCGTCGAATCTGCGACAGTCACTTGCGTATCTGATGCCACATTTGACCACGTCGTTTTGTCTGGCGCAGCAATACAGTCAGCTGGAACGGCAATTCGTTTCTCGTCTCGAAACGCCACGGTACGGACATCTGTTGGGCCTGGGTGGGACATTCTCCGATGAGAGCAGCGAACTGGAGCTCGTGGCTGGGTTGAGTGGACACGTTAACTATAGAATGGCGGAGGATGGTACCATTTCAGCACATGCCAGCTTATCGAGTCCCGACGAGAAGTCTAATTCGACCAAACTCAGTCCTCCCATCCCCGGAGGGCCTGGTGGCACACCTGGGTTCGAACTGGGCACCTTGGGGGCTGCGACCGCGAATAATACCGACCAGAACGACGTTTCTGGACCATCTATCAAACTAAGCCGAGAGGCGGCAGATAGTTATTTCAATGTTCCGCAGCAGCAACACAAGAGCTTCCGTGAAGCCATCATGCACCAGCAACGGAGGCGACTATCAAAGGCGAAAGAGCAGGTGACCATGCCGGACCCTGCGTTGCCAGGAAAGTCCCTGGCCAAGGCCTCGACCGATGACGATTCGGCTTTGCAGGATCCGAACGCTGTGGCACCGTCCCCTATGCAGGAACCCCGGTCCCAGGCTGCCGCTTCGCCTACTCAACCGTCGACTTCACGTCATCCGTCAGCAAACTCGTTATATGCGCAGTTGCAACGCGAAATCCCTCGTCCGTTTTCCGATACTGTTGCGCAGTTGATGCTTAACTCGGTTCCGCTGCACTTGTTTCTGGCTAAACCACAGAGTGGTGAAGTAATTTGGACCAATTCCAAATTCGATGCTTACCGGAGGAGTCAACCCCAAGAACAGAAAATGCGGGACCCGTGGCAAAACATTCACAACAGCGAGCGCGAGCATGTCTCGCAAGAATGGGCCAATGCGTTACGAACTGGCTCTCAATTTACAGAACGAGTGCGGGTAAAACGCTTCAATGACGAATCTGCCTACCGTTGGTTCATTTTCAGGGCCAACCCGTTGCTCTCATCGACCGGGGAGGTTCTGTATTGGATTGGATCATTTCTCGATATTCATGAACAGCATATCGCCGAGTTAAAGGCTGCACAAGAACGAGAGAAGTTCGCGACCGACGCCAAATACCGAGCATTCTCCAATTCGATTCCGCAGGTAGTATTTGAAGCAGCAGAATACCGTGGTCTGATTTTTGCAAACGAGCAATGGCACCTGTATACGGGCCAGAAACTTGAGGAGGCGCTCAATTTCGGCTTCGCAAAACACATACATTCCGACGATCTAGAAAAATGCGGCCTGCTTTCCCACCACCTTATCGGCAAGACCGACTCGAAGGACCCGTCATCGTCAGAACTTCCTAAGGGGAAAAATGCGCCTCCCGAGCGGCACTTCGGCCATGGATTCACCCCAGCTCTGGATGAGCTCGTGAAGCGTGGCGTTGCCTCCGTGCAACAGGACGAAAATGGACGGGTGTTCTATTCGACCGAGATTCGTCTTCGCTCCAAGGGAGGCGACTTCCGTTGGCACCTGGTCCGCTTGGTTCGGGTCGAAACCAGCAGTTTTGGCAATGGCGAAGCGTCGTGGTACGGAACGTGCACTGACATTAACGACCGGAAGAACTTGGAGCGGGAGCTGAACAAGGCCATGCAACAACTAAACAACCAAATGGAATCCAAGACTAAGTTCTTCAGCAACATGTCCCACGAGATCAGAACCCCGCTTAATGGAATCCTTGGCACTATCCCGTTCATCCTCGACACCCAGTTGGACACGGACCAACGGCGAATGTTGGACACCATCCAGAATAGCTCTACCAACTTGCGTGAATTGGTCGACAACATCCTCGATGTTTCCCGCGTGGAAGCCGGTAAAATGTCGTTGGTGAATTCCTGGTTCCACGTCCGGTCCGTGATCGAAGACGTGATCGATACTGTGGCGTCGAGAGCCATCGACAAAAGCCTTGAAATTAACTATCTGATGGACGTCGATGTGCCGCCAACGGTCATTGGTGATCGATTCCGTATCCGGCAAGTTCTCATCAACCTCGTGGGTAACGCAGTCAAGTTCACTTCGCAGGGAGAGATCCACATCTGCTGTTCGATCCACCATGACCCATCTGCCCTAGCGAAAAACACGGAGTTGTTGTTGAACTTTGATGTCGTCGATACTGGCAAAGGCTTCAGTGCCAGAGATGCAGAGCGTTTGATGCAGCGGTTTAGTCAACTTGGACAGAACGGGTCACAGCAGCATGCAGGCAGCGGATTAGGATTGTTCCTGTCCAAACAACTGGTGGAAATGCATGGCGGTAAATTAACACCCAGTAGCAAAGAGGGCCAAGGTGCAAAGTTCTCGTTCTACGTCAAAGTCGATGCACCTCCTCCAGTAACGCCGGAAGAACAGTCCAAGGGTGCCCGTCAGCAAAAAGCATCGGATGCGAAGACGAAGCCAAACCAGGAAGCGGTTGGCGCTAAAAGTCCAAAATCCCCTGCGCCCGAGACTCCGGCTTCTCAGCCACCTACCAGCACCGACTCTTCCGCACAGCCTGCGCTACCAATTCCGGCCGAAAACTCATCTGTAGCGACACCAGACACCAGCGGTGCTAAGATGGACGTTCCCAAACCTGATGAATCAGCATCGGCACCAGCGGTAGAACCCAAGTCGTCACCTCAACAAGCCAGCCCTTGTTCCATTCTCATTCTCTGTCCGCTCGAAAACACGCGCAAGGCCATCCAGCAGCATATTCAACAGGTAGTGCCTCATGAGGTTCCGTTCACGATCAAAGCGTATCCTGATATCGACGATTGGAGGGATATGGTAAACGAAGGTACTGGCTCTAGCATGACTCACTTGGTTCTCAACCTGCCAAATGTTGACGACGTTATGGATGTAATCCAATACGTTTCCGAGTGCGAACCGACTGCTGCACCGACGCTGGTTCTCATTTCTGATCTCTATCAGAAGCGTCAAGTCAACCCGAAGATCAAAGAGTTGTCCGCAAGTGGAAGGAAGGTCTACACGGTACCAAAGCCGGTCAAGCCCTCGGCATTCTCGGCCATTTTCGACCCAGACAATAGGCGTGATCTCAGCAAAGATCGGAACCAAGATATGGCGAGGGAGATCAACAACAATTTCAAGACCATGTCCAAGATGGTCAAGGAGGTCATTGGTAACAAAGGCTATCGGGTATTGCTTGTCGAGGATGATGAAACGAATCGCATGGTATGACCCCCTCTTCTTTTCCTTGTCATTTTCAGCCGTCTAACATGTAACAGGTCATGTTGAAATACCTTGACAAAATTAAAGTCATGGCTGAAACCGCATCCAATGGTCAGGAGTGCACGGAAATGGTCTTCTCCAAAGAGCCAGGCTACTACTCCCTCATTATTGTAAGTGTACCAGTGGATGCAAGTAAAATGAAATTGTGTGACTAACATTTCTGTACAGTGCGACATCCAAATGCCAGTCAAGAACGGTTATGATACTTGTCGAGAGGTCCGCGGCTGGGAACTCAAGAATCACTACCCTCAAATCCCGATCATGGCCTTGTCCGCGAACGCAATGACAGATCAGATCGAAGATGCAGCGCGTGCTGGTTTCAATGACTACGTGACCAAGCCCATCAAGCACAATGAACTTGGAAAGATGATGATGGGACTACTTGATCCCAATCGACCTCTGCTTTTGCTTCGTGATCGTCTCCGCGAAGACAATGAAAATGATGACAGTCATCGCGAAGAATAAAAGGCAGAACGCAACCAAAAAAAAAAAAAAAAAAGATATCTTCTTCCGTCTTGTTTCTTGTTTTCGAGGATAACGGCTTCTTCACGCACGATCAACGACCAATACCCACTCGTTTTTCTTCCTTCTTTCGCCTTCTCGTTCTCCTTTGCCTCTTCGGTATTCGTCGATGCAATATACCCATACAGCTCTTCCGCTCGCACAGTTTGCTCCATGATGGAGTACTGTTTGTTCTCTTTCTTTTCGTGGACTTTCCACCCACTTTTCTTTTTATTCATTTTTTCTTTTCTTTTTATATCCTATATTATGGACTGGGGTTAGGATTGGCAAGAGCCATCGGAAGGGAAGGCGCCTTTGGATGTCTTTATTATTATTATCATCTCGACCTGGTTCATGACCTTTGTCATTGTCATCCGCATATTTGATTATTGCGGATTTCAGCCTTGCATCTGCATTCGGGCATTGTTTTTCGAAGTTTGATTGATACCTTTTACACACTGCATCTACTTACGGGGCCGGAATTTCAGGCTTATGTTGTTTCTCTTTTTTTTTTCCCTTGGACCTTTTGATACTTCCGGTGTGGCGTCAGTTGTTGGATTTCTTTTCTCCTGAACAAATTCCTTCCATCATTGTCTTTTTTTTTTTTTTTTTGTGCGGCTGCCTTTTTTTTTTTCCTGATACCATACCAAGCTTATGAGCACGACCTTGTTTCATTTTTCGCTTCTTTTACCTTCTGGGATTGTATTTGCAAATAGCCCGAGATTCC